CAGGGAAACCCTAGGGTTCCCCTCTCCCTCTCCTCGCCGCCGCCAGCCGTATAGTCCACCAGATCCGCCGCAATCCACCTGACCCGAGCGCATCAGAGAGCCCGAGCTCGTCGTCAGCGTGAACCTCGTCGACCTCTTCCTCGCCAACCTTGTCCAACGCTTCCTCGACGTCCACTACGTCGACTACGTCCTCTATGTACGCGGAGCACCAAGTTCCTCGACGTCCACTCCGTCTTCTTCCGCCTCGGCCTCCGCCGCGTCGTCGTCATTTCCGGTCGCCTCAGTCAACCACTCATCGATCCGAGCGCACCCATGTGCTCGTGGTGAGCCCCTGGTCCTCCCCCTGTTTCCCCCCTCGTTTGCTTGCTCGGAAGCCGTTCGCCGCGTTCGGCAGAGTTCATCACCGTCGGGCCTCGTCTCCGGCGAGGATCCCGACCCCTTTAGCCTCGTCACCTTGGTCCGTAGTGATCGCCGTGGCACGTGGAGCCCGCATAGCCCCTCCATCGTGCCTGCCGTCCTCTCCAGCGAGTAGCCCGAGCTCACCGTTGTCGCCTCTGCCGCACGACGCCGGCGTCGCCATATCGTTAGGTGCAGCGCGTCGCAGTCGCGCGTGCGGGATTCCCGTGCGTGTCCGTCCCACCCTCCGCCGTACGATTCGGTTGCCGGAGTAGCTCCGACGAGCTCCCCCGGCTGCCCCTGTTTTCCTCTGTTGGCGCATGCCGACGCGTAGCCGAGTGGCTCAAGCCACTCGCTTGCTGCCTAGCGACCCTGGTTCGATCCCCCGCACGCGCACTAACCCCCGTTTTTTTCTGTGTAACTTGAGTAACTGACAGGCCGGCCCCACAGGTCATTCTCTCACACCAGCACACCCAGCCACGTGGCCCACGGCCCCACCAGTCAGTCTAACAGCCTGGGTATGCCTAGCGTTTTTCTCCGTTTTCTGTTTTATTCCAGATTCGGAGTATGCCAGATTTGTCATATGCCGAGGTTTCCATATAAGGCAGTTTATGTTTTGCATGATTGTGGGGAATTTTCTAATGCAACCCAGACATATTATATATGTTTTTGGGGTATAAAAATCCCACCAATCCATTGGTGGCACTATTTTCTGCATTTGAGCAAGTTTGCACACATGTCATTTTACATCATGTTGCTGTTTTGTCTTTTATGTGTACATTTATACAAATATGCTATGTGGTATTTTGGCACATGTGTAGCTTCCTTTTCATATCTACTCCATGCTATATTTATTTCATGCCATGATATGCCCTGTAGTGAGTTGATCAAGCTTGTAAACATGCTTTGATGCATATGTTTCTACCATGCAATGAAATTCTATCAAGTCTGAAATCTGTTCATATCACTTGCCATGTTTGCATTGGTGCTATCATCTTTTTTGTGGATCTTTGGAACAAGTTCAGTAAGGGAGTTTTGTTCATTGCATTTAGTACTAGCAAGACATGCTCAAGTCAACCATGATAGGTTCCTGTAACATGTATTTTACTGTCTCTAAACATTGCAACCTGATGTTGTTTCTGTCATGTCCAGTATTTTCACCAAGTCTGTTAAACTGTTGTCATTTGCATTTTTGCCGTGCTGGTTTAGACCTGTTCTAGTGAGTTCTAGCAGTAGCTCAGTGTTCATGATTTGTAGAGCTTCCCATGTACTTCCCTGCCATGTCATTTGTTTTCATGTTGGAGTGCTATAGCATATTTTTATGTTGCTACTAAAGTGCCATGTTGCTGTTAATCTCAGTTTTGCTCGTCTTCTGCAAACCGTTCATCTGTTCCTCATGATCTTTATATCGTTTACAACCGAAATCTCCCAATCTATCCAGTGGCATACTTGGTTTGCCAAGTTAGTGCCACATTCAACTTTCCCCTTCTGGAGTACCCATATGCATTGCACATCATCTCTTGCATCTCATGCCATGTTTTGCATCATGTTGCTTGCGCATTGCACCGTGATGATTGTTGTTCCGTTGCTCGTGATCTTGCTTTGGGTAGAGCTGGGAGACGAGTTCGTGTATGAGGACCCTGTCGAGTATGTTTCTGAGGAGGAAGGGTTCGATACCTTTGAAAACATTGCAGGCAAAATGATCATTACCCCCGATATCACTTCTATTTTTGCTTGCTAGTTGTTCATTCTATCACTATGTCGCGCTACCTATCACTTGTTTACCAAGCCTCCTATATTGCCATGTCAAGCCTCTAACCCACCTTCCTAGCAAACCGTTGTTTGGCTATGTTATCGCTTTTGCTCAGCCCCTCTTATAGCTTTGCTAGTTGCAGGTGCAGTGCAGGTTGTTCCTAGTTGGAACATGGATGTGTTGGGATATCACAATATCTCTTATTTAATTAATGCATCTATATACTTGGTAAAGGGTGGAAGGCTTGGCCTTTTTCTCGGTGTTTTGTTCCACTCTTTCCGCCTTAGTTTCCGTCATACCGGTTATATGGTCCTTGAATTTTGCGTCCCTAACAAAGTGTGGGTTTATGGGCCCCTCTTGATAGTTAGCTTTGAATAAAACTCTTCCAGCAAGGCTCAACATTGGTTTTACCATTTGCCTAACAACAACTAAAATTTGCATAGGGAGTAATTAACTCGAGGATACTTAATAAACCCCCCGGGCCAGTGCTCCTCATGAGTGCTGGTCCAAACTAGAGCAGCTTGAGGCGCCGCCCCTTGGCAACTTGGAGTTCCTTGGCCGCTGTAACCATAGCCCATCCGGCGTGGCCTGGGACGAGATACACGTGGCTTCTATCAGGATGTCGGCATGTCGGGATGTCTTGCTGGACTTGTTTTACCATTGTCGAAATGTCTTGTGCACCGGGATTCCGAGTCTGATCGGTGGGTCCCGTGATGGAGGATTGTCTCCGCGGATCGTGAGCTTGTCATGGGCTAAGTCGGGAAAACCCTTTAGGGTTTAATATTTTGAAAGTCGTGCCCGCGGTTATGTGGCAGACAGAAGTTTTTAATATCCGGTTGTAGTGAACTTGAAACCAGACTCAATTAAAATACACCAACCGTGTGTGTAACCGTGATGGTCTCTTTTCGACGAGGTTCGGGAAGAGAAAACGGCGGGGTTATGTTTGAACGTAAGTAGTTCAGGATCACTTCTTGATCATTACTAGTTTGCGACCGTTGCGTAGTTTCTCATCTTATCCTTGTATTCGTAAGCTAGCCACCATACAATGCTTAGTGCTTGCTGCAACTCCACCATATTCCCATACTTCTTCTATGAGCTTAAATAGTCTTGCTATCGCGAGTTTTGAGATTGCTGAGTCCCCGTGGCTCACTGTACACTACAAGAGATCGGCCCTACTGTGACGAGACAAAAAATGTCATCGAATAGCTAATAACGTCACAAATTACCCCTAAGTGACGTTTTATGGGCGTCATGAGGATTGTCACGGAATCCCCGTCACAGATTACTCCTAGTGACAGCGCGTGCAAAATAACGTCATTGAAGATGGGACCTTCAGTGACGTTCTCTAGAACATCATCAAGTTGTTATTACCACGACAACCAAGTAATGTCACACGCTACAAGAAAATATGCCATATTGTACCATATTTGGTGATGTAGCAATGTCACTGAATTCATGACACGTCTAATGCCGGAGTAGACTATCCCATTGCTAGCATCATTACTTTCATTATTAATGAAGATGACGCCACATATATTTAATTTACTTTGAATTTAAATCATGACAAATTATCAAGTCCACTGTATTCCAAATGTATATCACAATAAGTATTTAATTCATATCACATTATATAAATAAGTTAAGATCCAAATCACATCATAAATTTACAATATTATATACTTCATCATTTCAGCTCAATCGTCCTATCAACATAAATGATAGTAAAAATAACACTAGCTCACGAGTTTGAGACAACAATAGACAAGTTGAAAACCAATATTTAGATAAGTAAAGACTACATGTGTTATCCTGATGATTGCAATATATGATTCAACAACTATCTTTCCATCGCAAAAGGATGGCCTTCATGCACCATTAGGTTTGGATTGGGACTTCTGAGTTGCTTGAGCACTTAAGAGAAAACCAATCAGGTTATCCGTCTCTTGTTGCTTCTTTTGCCAGGCTTCATTCTTCTCTTGCTGGATCTTCTTCACATCTTTGAATTCTTCGTGTTGCTTCCTCTACGTCTCTTCAAATGCTCTCTCTTGTGCTTCAAGTCTCACCACTAACTCCTATCGGTGCCTATAAATCGACAAAACACAACAACGTTGCATCTGATGAGATGAAAATAGACAAGATAACAAGGTACAAGAGTACCACTAAGAAGCTTACAATCTATCAAAATATGAATGTAAAATAGAGAGGTACATTATTAAATGTGAAGGCAAACATTCGAATTGGCAAATGAAACAGTAAACCCACAAACAACTTATAATGGTTAAAAACATGCACAACCAAGAGATAAATTTCATTTATCATTTTGAGAAACATCAAGCATCACCAATAAGATATCAAGTCAGCAACCCAGTCCAGAAGCAACTATGCTTGGACAACAGTTTTTTAGATCAAACTAAACTAGCCTATATCGTTCTCCTAAAAATCAAGCACATAAACAAATCAACAAATCATACTGGATTTCCGGATTAGAAACCATACATTACAACCTTATTCTCATGCCTTCGTGTTGCAGCAACAAAAACCATGCAACAAACCATGTATTTCTCATTACAAGCATTTATTATTTTTTATGTTACTTTGGATTATTGGATTTGGATCAAAGCATACATAAACAGCGAAGAACTCCTTAGTTTGTTACAAGAACTGAAAACGAATGTCTTATTCACAAATATTTGTGTTTTCATTTTCTCACTGTCATGAGGGCTCTGTGCACGTGCAGAAAAGCAAGAAAAATTTATCAACCAGAACACAACAAGAAACAAGATAAGTACCTGTCCCTTGCATCTCTCGCATCGCCATCCTTTTGTTCAATTCTTTATTCTAGAACTCAGATCTATGCTGATGAAGTAAAGCTCCTAGATCTCTCGGATCTTGATGCATAACTCATGCTGGAAAGGAAGGTGCTCTGGGTGCTTTCTTCCTTTAGAACTTCAGCCACAATCATTGAATCAGACACTGGTTGCTCACCTTCTGATTGTGTTTCCCTTTTCTTTTCAGTCGCATTCTATTGTATAAAGGAAAACATTGATGCTTAAGCAAGGCAAAGTTCATATGATGTATACACTGAATCAATATGAGAATCTATTTCAAGTCAAAAACAATAAAGGAAGAAATCTTACATAGGCTAGATGTGCCGGCTCGCTCATGCTGCCAGTCTTGCTGTTCGTATGGGTCTCTTTGAAATACTCAATGGGACTTGGGTCCTGATTATTATACTTGCTTTTTTCTACAAGATATATGAAAATCTAACATTACTACTCCATATATAATGACAAGATGCGATAGACATAGGACTAGAAGTAAGGTATTTGGAATTCTTACAATTTTACTGAAAGTGGAAACATAAGACCTAGATCCAGTCTTTTGGTGATGCTCGACAACTTCTCAGTTTTGCGTTTTCTTTTTTGGCATGGTACAACCTTTAGGTACCTGGGTCAAACAAGTCAAGCAAAAGAAGGCAGTGAATCAACAGTGACCTATGCAATGTCAACACTAGTTCAAAAAGGCAGGCAGTGAACATAGATAGCATTGTCTAAAAGAGTGTAGGAACAACATGAATCAATCTTTAGTCAACTATTTGTGATACTTATAGTGCAAAGTGACATACACATGATACAAGCAAGAATAATTAAAGCTAGTGAATCCACACTGATGTACACATTATTTAAGATGTAAGTCCACACGATATATTACCATTTCTTTGGACATAGACTATGTTGCACGGATACTTGGATACGTATTGGATACACGATACGGGGATACGCCCAATACGTCAATTTTCTAAAAACTAGGATACAGGGATACGTTTGTATATACATATTAATTATTAAATATATGAAAAAATAACGAGTTTTTTTGTAGGAAATGCACTGTTTTATTTAAAAAATTGAAGTCTTCACAATTGCTTAACAAATACTGCATGGATCTCTTGTTGCCTCCTTTCCCTTTCCCAGTATTTTCCAACATCTGGACGTACCTCCACAAAGGCTTCTTCTCATTATCATCTTCCAAAATCACATGAGCAACAACCAATACATGGACTGCAGCCATGCTACCTCCACTACATGCGTCACTTCTAACTGAAGAAGACCTAATAGACATGGCCGATCTGCACGGTTAAAGGAGGAGATTAGGAAAACAGATTAGTCAAACTGATCTAATCTTAAAATCTGAACCTAAAACACCTACGCACAGAATTCAGAGAAGGAGATGGAGAAGAGAGATCAGAGAAAGAGAGGGAGATGAGAACATACCTCCTGCAAGGGAGACACGAATGTCTTCTGCCGGCGACGAGCCGGCGACCGATCAGCGTTGATTGGATGGAGAGTTGGAGAAGAACATGTGGGAGAGGAGAGGACTGGAGCTGAGATTTATGGAGAGTTGGAGACCTGTGGGCTGTGGCTGCTCGCCTGCTCCAAAGAGTCGAGGGGACGAGGTGGCCAGTTTTCAATCGAGGGGACGAGGATGACGTGCGGCGGCGCTAGGAGGGGATCGAGGAGTTTTCAGTTTTACACGTCGAACAAATGGGTTGCCGTATCCAAAACGTATCCCAGAGGTATCCCAGACATATCAAACACTATTTTCTTTTTTAAAATCTATAAATCACAGGATACTTACGGGATACGTATCGGGCAGTATCGGGGCAGTATCCGAGTATCGGGGTAGTATCCGGCAGGATACGCGCACTTTTTGAAGTATCCGTGTAATGTAGGACATAGAAAGGGTGGCTTCCTCTTCATCTCTCAAAGCCCCTTCCTGGAGCTTACATGAATATAACGAAGTAGATAAGTTAGGATGCAAGCACAGGATGTACTAATATTGTATATAAATGATGATCTCACGCATTGGGATCTAACAAGCAAAGCAATCAACAGCCAGCAAGCCAAGAAAAACAAGAACAAAATGTTCAGAACAAAAAACAGGAAAAAATATTATTACCATAGCTACTGGCATAGTTTGGAAACCAGAATGTTTACTACTCTTTTAGAATTAAGGCACGATGGATGGTGCTGTATGTTTGCAAAGTAGGAGCAGCTTGATTTTACCCAGCTTAGTATGTAAGAATATAGTAGAATACTGAAGCTTACAATGTATCTGCTTTTATCAAAGTTCCAGGCATACTGAAAATGCTTGTGGGCTTCAGACGCTTAACATCATGGGTAGCTAAATTAGGAGAGGAATGGCAGAGATTAGGTTTAGTTCTCTTTTAACTAGTACTGGAGAGAAAAGTACACTGATACAGAGCTAAAATCTCCTTAACGAGTCAAAATCAAGTGCTGTCTCAGTTATTATTCAGTTTGGACAACACTAGTTAAGGACTATTTATGGGGCATCAGAACCACAAAAATAGAATTCAGTTTCGCATTTTAGCATAGATAAAGTGGCTGCATCAAGAAGCTAGTTTATTCGGACATGTAGATACAGGGATACAAGGATGCACTGCTTCCTGCTTGTAATTAGTTCTCCTTTTATATGTTGCATACTTTAGTTCATGCGTTTATGTTCGTCTGATTATGACACCATACAGCGATCGAGAGCATCTAGTTTTATAATTACAGCCGAGTACAACCATCAGATGGTTAACATATAATTTTCTTCTGAATGCAAGAGTAGCCATACAAGCACATGGCCGCAAAAGAAATCTCCCAGCTAAGGCCACACGTCTCATACCTAACTGAACTTTTCAGTAACAGTAACTATATTGCAGTAGCATATATTCAGGTTCAGCCCTTTTTACAATAGTGGGCCATAACAAATGCAAAACCATGTTCTCACTAGTGTAGTTTTGCACACAGATCGATCAATAGGATATAAGTAAAGTTATCTAGCAGGAGGTTCAGGATTTTTTACCATCGCAGGCTATGGCAAATAACTAATTGCAGAGAAGGGCGGGATGAGTACTAGTAGTACTACGCATGAACCCTAACCATTGAACACCAAGGGGTGGCGGGATGAGGAAATCACCGAGAGACGTCGCCAGGCGCTGGGGAAAAGACATCAGGGTGCTCGCTGGGCGGGTTGATGCGGTGGATCCAAGCTCGGCGGCGGGGAGGCCTCCTTCAAGATGGCGTCCCTGGTCGCTGCAATTGGGGGGAGAAGAGGGCCGGATCCTCTCAGGGCAGGATGTTTGTGTGGATCCGAGCTCGGCCTGTAGGGCGACCTCCCCCGATCTGCCGCCGCCAGTCGTTCCAATCGGTGCAGTAATCTTGGGGAGAAGAGAGCCGGTTGAATCGGGCATAAGAGATATGCGGCGGGGGCGGTGGCTCTTCGCGGGTGAAATAGAATGAGGAATTTTGGCTGGGTCTTTGACGAGTGGGGACACAGGGTGGATGAGGGGAAAAATAGAGAAATGGGGCGAAAAGAGTATTTGGATGGAGGGAAAAGAGTTCTTTTTGCGGAGAAATGATTTATTTTCAGGATTTAATTTCTACTTTGATATCATGTAATTCATTTAATTTGAAATAAATAGCAAATGATTATTAGAAAAAATAAATCTTATATAAACATTATGATGTGGTATTTTCCATGTAGTTTTTTATAATTGTAATGTATGCCGAAACTTGTACACAATGGCCTTAAATATGTTTTTCTCGCCCACACGGGTTCCTGCGGTATTGATCCCGACCACGATGGAACCAATGGTTTGATTTCAATCGGGATCAGACGACAAAGAGATGGTTTGTATCTGTTATGGAGATGGATGGTTCGCCATATAGATAAATCATTTAATTTTTTAGATAGAACGAAACAACATCACCTCACGAGCACCCTATTCAAGTTTTTTGCCCAACAACTACCTGTTTATAGATAAGAATAAAAAAAGATTTTCCATCTAATCTCGTCTTTTCATTTTAACTTTTGAGATAGAGCAAAACAACATTAGCTCACCAACGCCCAACTGAAGTTTTCAACACAGCCCCTACCTATTTATTCTAGAAATAATAACAAGATAATTGTGTTAATTTTTTTTTCCATTGCACGTTCAATTTCCATTTTTATTTTGAGATAAACAACATCAGATCACAAATGTCCAATTAAACTTTTCGCCAATGCACTACCTATTTATAGTAGAAAAAACAAAATAACCATCTTACGAAAATGAGAGAACAAACCAAGGTTTTCTGTTTATAAAAAACAATAAATATAAGTATTTCCATGGCCACTACCTACTTATATTAGATAGAGCAAAATAATTACAACCCTTAATAGCATTTGGAAAAATTATGGCGAATACCACTACCCAAACTGATGCATGGGTCCTACCTCTCAATAACCCATGAACTATCTATGGCGGGTCACACTACTAGACGTTACATGACAAAAATATTGTTCATCACACATTAATAGGTTCGGTTACACTGGCAAGTCCGTCATGAAAATACCAAACTGTCACAGAAATTGGCAGTCAGGTGTGCTCAGAGGCCGAGGCAATTAAGTGACGTTTATCGTCACCGATTTGCAGTAATCGGTGACATTGTCCACCATCGTCATGATGTTTTTCGTCATAGTATGTCAATTTTGTTGTAGTGCGTGCGTGTCCGTCCCACCCTCCGCCGTACGATTCGGTCGCCGGAGTAGCTCTGACGAGCTCCCTCGGCTGCCCCTGTTTTCCTCTGTTCGCGCATGCCATGGTAAAGCCAAGAGGAGATGAGGCCCTCTTCTGACAGTCGCCGACGCGTAGCCGAGTGGCTCAAGCCACTCGCTTGCTGCCTAGCGACCCTAGTTCGATCCCCCGCACGCGCACTAACCCCCCTTTTTTTTGTGTAACTTGAGTCGCTGACAGGCCGGCCCCACAGGTCATTCTCTCACACCAGCACACCCAGCCACGTGGCCCACGGCCCCACCAGTCAGTCTAACAGCCTGGGTACGCCTAGCGTTTTTCTCCGTTTTCTGTTTTATTCCAGATTCGGAGTATGCCAGATTTGGCATATGCCGAGGTTTCCATTTGAGGCAGTTTATGTTTTGCACGATTGTGGGGAATTTTCTAATGCAACCCAGACATATTATATATGTTTTTGGGGTATAAAAATCCCACCAATCCATTGGTGGCACTATTTTCTGCATTTGAGCAAGTTTGCACACATGTCATTTTACATCATGTTGCTATTTTGTCTTTTATGTGTATATTTATGCAAATATGCTATGTGGTATTTTGGCACATGTGTAGCTTCCTTTTCATATCTACTCCATGCTATATTTATTTCATGCCATGATATGCCCTGTAGTGAGTTGATCAAGCTTGTAAACATGCTTTGATGAATCTGTTTCTACCATGCAATGACATTCTACCAAGTCTGAAATCTGTTCATATCACTTGCCATGTTTGCATTGGTGCTATCATTTTTTCTGTGGATCTTTGGAACAAGTTCAGTAAGGGAGTTTTGTTCATTGCATTTAGTACTAGCAAGACATGCTCAAGTCAACCATGATAGGTTCCTGTAACATGTAGTTTACTGTCTCTAAACATTGCAACCTGATGTTGTTTCTGTCATGTCCAGTATTTTCACCAAGCCTGTTAAACTGTTGTCA